CAGTAAGACTGCGATATAATGTTTGTGTAGATATAATACATATGACATCTATTGTTTAAATGTCTCCAGTACCGATAAAAAGATCGATAACGTTGGACGTTAACGGTACCACGGTCTTTAATAATTCAGCCCCGGGCCCCGTTAATACTGGGGCTCGGTACCCATCCCTAGTTTTAATTATTACATCATCAATATTACATTTCAAATAACCAAGTACTTGGTATCTCACAAAGAGCAAGTGGCTAGTGCTGCTAAGAACATACCTGGTGATGGTGATGATGGTGGCTCTTCGCTGCAGGATCTGGTCGATGTCCTCCTAGCAGAAGCGATTGCCTTCGTCGTTCTCGTCAATGATGGCGGCGTAGGCTCCTTTCCTCAGCAGGTCCTCGATCTCCTTCTTGGAGAACTGCTGGACCGGCTAAAGGCGATGCAGAGAGACATTTACACAAGTGGATTTAGAAAACTCTTTTCGAAAATAAACTAAGCGTACTGCAACAGCGACTGACCCAAAAATTACTTGGCATCTAGAAATATGACAGATTTTCTTTTTCTCACCCCGTTGTTGTTGCCTTCTTTGTTCCAACTCATGCTCTGCAGGACAGCACGGTCCAGCCCGAGCTTCAGACTAGCTTTATCCAGCTTTTCCCTCTCATAGTTTCTAGTGATCAGACGGTACACCTCCACCGCCTTAGACTGGCCAAAACGATGACACCGAGCTTGAGCCTGAAATAAAAAATTAAAAGAGGGGTCAAAAGAGCAAAGTTTTTAAGCATTAAATGGGAAAATATACACTTAAAGAACCGAGGGAATAAACGGAAAGACTGTTGTTGTTGTAGCCCTGTTGAACTATCTTTAGGACAGACAGAGCAGATATATATATCGTACCTGCAGGTCATTTTGAGGGTTCCAGTCAGAGTCGAATATCACACAGGTGTCCGCAGCAGTGAGGTTCACAAGCTCTTGATCAGGTGTTTGATGTGGGCTGGCATGATCCTTTCTGCAGCGATAAATAAAGAAAACAAAGAAGACATTATTAATAATAGTAATGATGGTAACAACAATAATATTAGTATAACTATTTATATAGCACTTACACAATAATTGCAAAGTGATTCTCACAACAAAAATAAAGAACAAAACAATGTCAACAATAAAAAAAAAAAAAATTATAGGAATGTTAAGAGACAAAGAAATGATAAACATTCTAAGAGGCCGACTACAAAAAGGTAGACTCAATGGCTCTTGATGACATCAATGAGCAGTCCCAAAACATGCTGCTGTATCAAAAGAAATAGGTCCAGATTTCTTCTATTTAGTGTTGGATGATTTGTTGTATTGATTGCTGATGGATGTTAAGATATGTTTTACAATTATAACTTATTGTAATTGGAATCAAAAAGTTTAAAATCGTAGTTTTAATAAAATGACTAGCAATATAGGGTTTATTCAACAGTGGTAAAGCATTAAGTTGCTAAATTAACGTACACTGAACTGTAAAACTTACCACTATTTAGGAAATGACCTGATCAGAAGGATTGACTAGCAAGACAGCAAAGAGGTGGAGGAGGTCTCTGTCATGTACAACCAATGGTAGATGTTACACCTGAAAGAAAGATAAGGAAATAAGACAACACAGGAGGACAAACACCTTCTTAAGTAAAAGACCAAATCATGTCAAGCTTTACATCTTTCAGTCTTTATAATGCACTGTTGGAAATTACATTCCAAATGCTAAATTCAAACTCAATACCATAAATAACTGGGTACCAAAGTGCTTTACCTGATAGAACACGTTCCGCACGGAGCAGTAACCATCCGGCTCAGCCTTTTGCTGCATATCATCTCCTCCCTCTCCACTGTTTCCAGTAGATCTCTACTGCCTCTGTCCAATAAAACAGAAATGCCCCAAAACAATCATATTTAAAAATTTAAAAACAATAACTTGCTTTTGGCATTCAAATGTATTAGAATCTCACCTTTTTCCTGGATGTCAGGAAGGCGTTCCCTTCAAGTCCGCAACCAGTCATAGCATAGGAGTTCAAATGCAAAGCCTGAACGATGACAAGAGCGAGACTTACATTTTACAAGATAAGTAATACCAGAGCAGTGTGTACGACATGCAGAGAGCAGATCAAATCCCCTGACAGACTCACACACTTTGGTGATGTCCTCATCTGATAATGATGTTTCATTTTTAGCAGCAAAGTAACATTACTCAAGGTATATGTTGGACCCAACTCATGTACAGTATGTTTTGCATCTCCTCAACAATGGTCTGTATAGTTGAGTAGAAACAAACTGTCCCTACAGTTTCAGGTAGATTAACAAAGAAAAGTTTGCAATGAAGCACAAAACCCCTCTTTGTATTAAGCTAGCTGCCACAGAAAGTACAGCTTAATATGCTAACCTGGTAGAGTTAGCTAACGTTAGCTAACTTCATGTCCAACTAAAAACCTCTAACGTGCATTACATTGACGATTTTAAACACAACTTAACATTTTCAACTTGTAAAATAACGTTAATTTAACATACCCTTAAATAACTACATCACGTTTTTCAGAACAACACAAACTGCAGAAAACGTTAGCTGTAATTGTTGTTAGCTAAGACAGCTAGCTCGTAACAATAGCCTCCTAGCAAACTTGAGGTTACGTTAACATTAACTTAACGTTGTAAGAAAGCAAAACGAACCTTCGACAAATATTTTACTCTCAGACTGGGTGTAATTGTGTAGCGTTGCTTACCTCCAGAAGGACTTTTAGCTGTTTCCCAGTAGAGACTAGAGAGAGCTGTCAGAGCGATTGCTCTCAGAAGAGCAGCATTGGGCGGACCAGATAAGACCAGAGAAGAACCAGTTAAGCACCAGAAAAGCACAAGAACGGTTCAAGAACCGGTTTGGTTTATTGGCAGTTTGCAAACCACTTAAGAGCACTGGAGTGTGAAACAAAAGCTATTGAGTAAGTGTTGTGGTGCTGTTGCTTTGGTCTGGGTCCCTGGATCTGTGAGCTAACCACGCCCCCTTCATTTGCATATAAGGAATGGAAATGTCTCATCATGAAATGTCTCATCATGAAATACAAGTCACCTGAAATAAATAAATGCGTCATTATGAAATACAAGTCATCTGAAATAAATAAATATGTCATTATGAAATACGATTCTCTTGAAATAAATAAACATGTCATTATGAAATACAAGTCTCTTGAAATAAATAAATGTGTCATTATGAAATAAAAGTCTCTTGAAATAAATAAATAAATGTCTCATTATGAAATAAAAGTCCCATGAAATAAATAAATGTGTATGTGTCCAAATGTACATGTATACATATTTATTGCCTCATTTATTTATTTCAGAATTTATTTCATAGGCATATTTATATATATATATATATATA